GTGGAGAGTGAAGGAAGTTCGGCCCTCGGGGATTCTCGTGCTGGAGAACAAAAAGGGGGCACAGCTGAAGGAGCACCAGACAAACACGGCCCTGGTGAGGGGGAGCAAGCCTCAGCAAGCGGGTCCTGTGACACGAGCTCGAGCTACCCAAGCACGGGCACAGGAGGGGGCAGTGGGTGACTGAGGCAGGGCAGCACAGAGCAGGGAGTGTTGAAGGAGAACAACAGGAAGGAGAGCAGGAGCGGGTGAGGGCCACATACTCCGACAGCTGTCACCGCATATGCAAGGGATGCATATGCAATAACAGTAGAGTGCGGTGCTGTGAAGTCGTGTAGCTATGAATGCATTGAAGTATATAAATAAGAAGTAGTGTAGGAAGTGTAGCCAGTAGCGAAGTGTCGGTTGCAAAGGGGGAAATATGTGGGAGCGGTTGGGATGAAGGGGGAAAAGCACCGAAGGGCGAAATGTGGGATTTGAACAAATCCCAACCTCGAGCCGCACATTGGAAATGTGCAAGCCGAGGTTGGGTAAAGTCACCCAAGCCCACTCACTCGATGCCTATTGTTCAGTATTCTTTCATACTAGTGAAGGGCTGTCATCCTAGCTACTACACGCGGTGGCACAGCACTAAGAGGGAACCTGTGGGGTGAGGGAGCAATCCCGTTCAATGTGAGTGACTGAGGCAGGGCAGCACAGAGCAGGGAGTGTTGAAGGAGAACAACAGGAAGGAGAGCAGGAGCGGGTGAGGGCCACATACTCCGACAAGGCCCGGAAAGACCTTGCAACATGTGGACGGTCTCTCCCGGAACCCCCCCCCCCCTGCCAGAGCCTACGGAAACCTTGACACTGCTAGCGAAGCAGGTGGAGCTGAATAGGGCCAAGGGAGGGAAGGGGCCAGCAGATATGTGGGAAGATGAACAAGCCATGCGATGGGTGAAAGGAGAGACAGAAGAGGACGAGGAGATGACAGCGAGAGTGAGGGCAAGGGGGCACCACTACAGGTGGTACCAGCAGCAGTTGCAGATACAGACGGAGGACGGATGGAAGCTGGTGCTTGCGCCTGGTGAGAGGGAGGCAGTGATCAGAGAGGTGCATACAAAGCTTGGACACTTTGGGCATGAGAGGACAGTGCAGCTATTGAAGACGGGGTGGTGGTGGGAAGGGATGCACAGGCAGGTGAAGAAGTGGGTGGAGGACTGCGAGGCATGCCAAAGGAGCAGGGCGAATCTGACCCAAGCCAAGGCAGAGTTGCAGTCCCTGCCCATCCGCGGCCTAGGCTTCAGATGGTCCTTGGATTTGGCGGGAGAGCTGCCTCTGAGCCGAGGAGGCAAGCAGTACATCGTGCTCATGGTGGAGCACGTGAGTAAATGGCTGGAGGTCAGAGCGATCCCGAGCAAGAGCTCAAGACACGTGGCAGCGGCGTTCAAGTAGCAAGTCGTGTGCAGATTCGGGGCGTGTGCAGAGGTCCTCACGGACCAGGGAACGGAGTTCCAAGGGGATTTCAAGAAGTTGCTGGAGAGTGAGAAGGGTGAGTCAGGGACAGGAGGTGTACCTGAAACGGGCAAAGCAAGACACCTTGGATGTCAGGGTGGGCACCGAAAGGTGGAGAGTGAGGGAGGTACGTCCTTCGGGGATACAGGTGTTGGAGAATGAGAAGGGTGCACTCTTGAAGGAGCACCGGCCCAACACGGCCATGGTGAAAGGAAGCAAGCCTCAGCAGGATGGTTTTGTGACACAAGCTCAAGCGACTCGAGCACGAGCACAGGAGGGGGCAATGGGTGACTGAGGCTGTACAACACATAGATGGGAGGGACAAGAGAGACACCAGGAGAAGAGCAGGAGCAGGAGGAAGAGACATCAGGAAGGAGAGCAGGTGCTGCGAGGAACATGGTTCTCCGACAACCTACTGGTCTGTTTGGTCCAATGGAGGCCTGTTGGTCCAATGGACCGGTTGGACAGAATGGCATGTTGGTCCAATGGACCGGTTGGACCAACTTGCCTGTTTATCCAATGGACCGGTTGGACCAACTGGCCTATTTGGTCCAATGGACCGGTTGGACCAGCTGGCCTTTTTGGTCCAATGGACCGGTTGGACCAACTGGCCTGTTGGTCCAATGGACCGGTTGGACCAACTGGCTTGTTGGTCCAATGGACCGGTTGGACCAACTAACCTGTTGGTCCAATGGACCGGTTGGACCAACTGGATTGTTGGTCCAATAGACTTGCTGGACCAACTGGCCTGTTTGGTGCAAGGAACCGATTGGACCAACTGGCCAGTTGGTCCAATGGACCGGTTGGACCAACTGGCCTGTTTGGTCCAAGGGAGGCCTGTTGGTCCAATGGACCGGTTGGACAGAATGGCATGTTGGTCCAATGGACCGGTTGGACCAACCGGCCTGTTGGTCCAATGGACCCGCAAGACCAACTTGCCTGTTTGGTCCAATGGACCGGTTGGACCAACTGGCCTGTTGGTCCAATGGACCAGTTGTACCGAATGGCATGTTGGTCCAATGGACCAGTTGGACCAACTGGCATGTTGGTCCGATGGACCCGCTGGACCGACTGGCCTGTTGGTCCAATGGACAGGTTGGACCGAGTGGCCTGTTGGTCCAATGGACCGGTTGGACCAACTGTCCCGTTGGTCCAATGGAGGCCTGTTGGTCCAACAGACCGGTTGGACCAACTGAACTGTTGGTCCTATGGATCCGTTGGACCAATTGGCCTGTTGGTCTAATGGACCGGCTAGACCAACTTGCCTGTTTGGTCCAATGGAAGGTTGGACCAACTGGCCTGTTGGTCCAATAAACAAGTTAACCCACTGGCCAGTTGGTCCAATGGACCGGTTGGACCGACTGGCCTGTTGGTCCAATGGACCGGTAGGACCAAAAGGCATGTTGGTCCAATGGACGGGTTGGACCAAACTGGCCTGTTGGTCCAATGGACTGAATGGACCATGTCAACGGGATTGTTGTGTGGCCCCGTCCTCGCTTGGGCGGAGCCGACCTCGTGGTCGGATGTGCGGGGACTGCAGCCGACCTACAGCAGTGGGCACGGGGGCCACTGCAAGGGTGCCGAGCTCGAGGGCGCTTGACTGGAGGGCGCCGGGCAGGAGGACACCGACATGGGCGTCGGATCGACGTCCTAGGCGCCTAGACCGCGTCCGGGGAGGCTTGACGCCGACCTGGGCGTCTGCACGGCGTCCCACGAGGATGGACGCCGACCTGGGCGTCTGCACGGCGTCCTGTGGGCCCGGACGCCGACCTGGACGTCTGGCTGGTTTCCTGGGAGGCTGGACGCCGCCCTGGACGTCTGCACGGCGTCCTGGGCGTCTGGACGCCGACCTAGGAGTTCGGACGGCGTCCTGGGCGTCTGGACGCCGGACTGGGGACGCCGGGCATATGTGGCCGGCTACGGACTGAGATGGTCGACCAAGCATGGTTGCCCGGTCGACGGGTTACCCGGGCGACGTGGGCGAAGGTCGCTGGGGTGACGTCTGCGAGGCCGACCTCACGGGTGGTATCCCGAGGTCGACGTGGCTGGTGGGCGCAGTCACTGGCGTGGAGTTTGCCAGGCGTCTGCACTGTGCTCGTGACAAGGTGTGGAGCGCCAACCAGCTGCACGCACCTGCGAAGCAGGTGCACCGTTGTCCTGCGGGTGCAACGCTGTGCAGCCGACTTGCTATAGCGTTGGCACACGTGGACTTGCAACGTTGGCAAACCGCTACTCTGCAACGCTGGAGCGGTGCGAGCTCTATTGCGCTGGATCGCGGTCGACCATGCTACGCTGGAGGTCGACCAGCAGCCTAGCTAGCTCTGATGTAGTCTGTGTTGCCAATGTTGTATCAACCATTGTTGTCAACCCTTCTTAGTAAAACTTTTGCAAAATTGCCCCGTGAACCAGCAAGCAGTGTGTGCACTAGGAAAACGACTAAGGAACGAACGCAGAGATCACATGAGCACCCGTGCCTAGCCCGCAGTCCAGCTCTCGTTGCTAAAGTTATCTCCGCAGACCAACTGGCCTGTTGGTCCAATGGACCGGTTGGGGTAACTTGCCTGTTGGTCCAATGGACCGGCTAGACCAACTTGCCAGTTGGTCCAATGGACCGGTTGGGCCAACTGGCCCATTGGTCCAATGGACCGATTGGGCCAACTGGCCTGTTGGTCCAATGGGCCGGTTGGGCCAACTGGACCGTCGGTCCAATGGACCGGCTAGACCAACAGCCCTGTTAGGTCCAATTGACCGGTTGGACCAACTGGCCGGTTGGACTAATTGGCTCGTTGGTCCAATGGACTAGTTGGACCAACTGGCTTGTTGGTCCAATAGACCGGTTGGATCAACTTGCTTGTTGGTCCAATGGAGCGGCTCGACCAACTGGCCTGTTGGTCCAATTGACCGGTTGGACCACCTGGCCCGTTGGTCCAATGGACCGGTTAGACCAGCTGGCCTGATGGTCAATGCCCAGGTTGGACCAATTGGCCAGTTTGGTCCAATGCTCTGGTTGGACCAACTAGCCTATTGCTCCAATGGACCGGTTGGACCAACTGGCCTGTTGGTCCAATGGACCGGTTGGGGTAATTGGTCCGATGGTCCAATGGACCGGCTAGACCAAGTCGCATGTTGATCCAATGGATCGGTTGGACCAACTAGCCCGTTGGTCCAATGGACCGGCTAGAGCAATTGCCTGTTCGGTCCAATTGACCGGTTGGATCAACTGGCCGGTAGGACCAACAGGCCTGTTGGTCCAATTTGCCCGTTGGTCCAATGGACCGTTTGGACCAACTGGCTTGTTGGTCCAATGGACCGGTTGGATCAACTGGCCAGTTGGTCCAATAAACCGGATGGAAAAACTGGCCTGTTGGTCCAATAGACCGGCTCGACCAACTGGCCCGTTGGTCCATTTGACCAGTTGGACCACTTGGCCCATTGCTCCAATGGACCGGTTGGACCAAATGGCATGTTGGTCCAATGCTCCGGTTGGACCAACTGGCCTGTTTGGTCCAATGCTCCAGTTGGATCAATTTGCTTGTTGGTCCATGGACCCGTTGGACCAACTGGCCTTTTGGTCCAATGGACCGGTTGGGGTGACTGGTCTGTTGGTCCAATGGACCGGTTGGACCAACTGGCCTGTTGGTCTAATGGACCGGTTGGACCAACTGGCCTGTTTGTCAAATGGACCGGTTGGACCAACTGGCATTTTGGTCCAATGGACCGGATGGACCATATGGCCTGTTGGTCCAATGGACCAGTTGGACCAGCTGGCCTGTTGGTCCTTTGGACTGGTTGGACCAAATGGCCTGTTTGGTCCAATGGAGGCCTCTTGGTCTAATAGACTGGCTTGACTAACTGGCCTGTTTGGTGCAATGGACCGGTTGGACCAACAGGCCGGTTGGTCCAATGAACCGGTTGGACCAACTGGCCTGTTTGGTCCAATGGACCGGTTGGGCCAACTGGCCTGTTGGTCCAATTTACAGGTTAGACCGACTGGCCTGTTGGTCTAATGGACCGGCTAGACCAACTTGCCTGTTTGGTCCAATGGAACGGTTGGACCGACTGGCCTGTTGGTCCAATTTACAGGTTAGACCGACTGGCCTGTTGGTCCAATGGACCGGTAGGACCAAAAGGCCTGTTGGTGCAATGGACGGGTTAGACCAAACTGGCCTGTTGGTCCAATGGACCGGTTGGGGTAACTGGCCTATTGGTCCAATGGACCGGCTAGACCAACTGGCCTGTTGGTCCAATGGACTGGTTGGGCCAACTGGCCCGTTGGTCCAATAGACCGGTTGGGCCAACAGGCCTGTTGGTCCAATGGGCCGGTTGGGCCAACTGGCCCGTTGGTCCAATGGACCGGCTAGACCAACTGGCCTGTTAGGTCTAATTGACCGGTTGGACCAACTGGTCAGTTGGACTTATTGGCTCGTTGGTTGTCACCGCATATGCAATTTATGCAGATACAATAACAGTAGAATAAAGGTGTAGGAGGCAGAATAGTATATCAGGATATATGCACTTAATGCATATATGGCTACACTAGCATGGGGCGCGGAATGTAGTACAGTAACGGTTGCAATAGGCAAAAGAGGGGGGAACAAAAAGGGAACGGTTGGAATTACGGGGGAAAACACCGAGGGGCGAAATGGGAAACCAAATCCTCACCCCGAGCCGCGCTTTGGGAAATGTGCAGCCTGGGGTGAGGATGGGTAAGGTCACTCACATTCACCCACTCGATGCTTGTTTCTTATTTTTCACTCATATCAGTGGAAGTTAGCACTTTGCCGCTCTTAGCACATAGTGGTACGCCACCAGGAGGGAACCAATGGTGTGAGGGAGTGATCCCGTTCATAATAAGAAACAAGCGTAGGCACGTATTATGGATAAGTATGAGTTGCGATGGGGCCGGGTCTTCACCCGTCGGGAGGAGGAAGGGCCGTGGCATGAGCGCTCGCAGGAGCGTGGGCGTTCCCTAGAAAGATCGCCCTGAAGGCCGGCCTTCTGTGCAGATAGAGTTCCCGTCGTGCCGGCCAGCCGAGAGAGAGAGGCGGCGCAGGGCCTATCTGGTGGCGGCAGACTCGATACATCGACGAGCGGCGTGCCATGGCGGAGAAACACGTTCCACCTGCGCAGCGACGAGCACCGCCACCCGCGCGACGAATTGGTGTTCCGCTCCCCAGAAGGGGGAGGCCGGCGACGTGATGAGCGAGGTCGCTGGCGTGGGAGGGAGGGACTCCCGCGGGAGCGAGGAGAAGGTTCGGGCGTCCGCCGGGCCGAACAGGATCCGCGGCCCGAGCAGACGCGGGAGGAGAGTGACGAGGAGGAGGCGGGGAATGAGGAGGTTGAGCAGGAGTACGGCGACGAGCCGGCGTACGACAACGGGCAAGGGTACGGCGACGAGCGGGAGCACGGCGACGAGCCGGAGGACGGCGACGAACAGGAGCACGGCGAGGAGCAGGAGCACGGCGACCCGCAGCAGGATGGAGACGAGCAGACGCGCGCGAGACCCGAAGTCCCGAGCGGAGCTGAAGAGGGAGAGCGTGCGCCCAGCGCGGAACACGCCGACACCGCGGCGACAGCGGAGGAGGAAGAGGGAGAGGCGCGGGAGGAGGGGTCACGTGCCACGGACCCCAACCGTCTGGAATGGCAGTACGCCCGCGATGCGCTGCAACAGGAAGGCCGGACTCGTGAGGGAGAGGCACACGCGGTGCAGCCACAGGGAATGTGCGGACGGAGCGAGGCAGAGGACAGGCGCACGACGGGAGTCCAGCGACGGCGGGCGGAGCCGAGGGATGGAAGCTCGCGCTCGTCAAGAGAGCCGCCGCCAAGGGCCAAGCGGTACGGGGACGCGGAAGGAAGGCGGAGAGGAGTGGAGGAGAATATGGTCCGCTCGGCGGCTCGACCGCAGGCACATGGAGGAAGCCGTGGCGGGGAGCATCGCTCGCCTGAGACGCAGCGGCACTGGGAGGGGCGCCGGAAGGGAGGAAGCAATGGGGGGAAGGGCCCAGAGGAGAGTCGCGGTCGCCCGACCGGCGCCGTTGGGGAGAGGGAAGGCGGGAGGAAGCAGGCCGCTCGCCGCATGGCATACGGCAGCAGGGCAAGGGAAGGGAGGAGTGGTCACCACCCCCAGCGAGACGTCAGCCGCGTGAAGCCGGCCCGAGGGAATGGGAGCAGAGTCACTACTTGCCGGCACGGCGATGGGAACGGGCGGGAAGGGAGGAGGGTCAGTGGGGACACTCGAGAAGGACGCGCGGAGAGCAGCTGGAGAGCAGGGCCAGGACTGGCATCTTGGCGCAAGGGGCTGAGCGCGCTGGGCAAAAAGGGGGGTATGGGAGAGCGCGGGGAGGGGTGAGTGAGTCGTGGGGAGAGGGAAGAGGTGGCGCGGCCACGGCGACAAGGGTAGAGGTGCCGGCCAGGTTCTCAGGCGATCAGCAGGCGGGGCCGTCGCTCAAGAACTGCCTGATGCAAGTGGGGAATGTGAAGTATCGGTGTGACCGGAATGGCATGGACCCCATAGACTTCTTCTTGAGCCTGCCAAATACCTTGGATGGGGAAGCCGAGACTCTGTACCGTATGAGGATGGAGGAGCTGCTGTGGAGGGCAGGGAGGTACGGGTAAGACCCAACCGAAGCGTTCTTGGAGCGGCTGCAGCAGCAGTTCCCAGGGCACACGGCGGAAAGGATAAGGGAATTTCAGGAATTCAAGCGAGGAAGGGCAGAGTCACTACTGGCGTACTACAATCGGCTGATCAACGTAGCTGAGGATGTGAGGTGCACGGATAGTATTCTCCTGATCAGTAAGTTCCTGGGGGGCTTGGACGAGGCACTGGGAGGCGGGCTGCGGATGTAGGTGTATGAGCTGGGCGTGGAGGCAAGACTGGAGGAGGTGTTCGAGCTAGCCGAAAGAGTAGAGCTCGCACAGAGGAAGTATGAGGCATACCTACCCAGACAGCTGGAGAGAACCCACAGGCCGACCTGGGCGGCAGCCATTATACCAGAGGAACGAGGGAAGGTAGAGGAGCGAGGAGAGGCACGGGCAGAAACCAGGAGCTGCCACCGCTGCGGACAGCCAGGGCACCTCCGCAGAGATTGCAAGAACTGTGATGGGTGCGGGAAGCCGGGCCACCGCAAGCGAGAGTGTCCTGATGCCGCCAGGTGTGAGGTGTGCAAGAAGAAGGGGCACGAGGCCAAGGACTGCTATCAGAGGGAAGGAGGAGCCAGGAGGAGCCCGGAAGAGTTGCAACGACAAATCAGCAGGCTGCAGGCGCAGCTACAGGCAACGGGACCAAGATGGGGGGCAGAGGCAGGGATGTATGCGAGAGACGAGGAGGGAGAGGAGGTGGAGCAGGACGTGCAGTGCACACTCATCGCATGGAGGGGAAGGGAGGAGATGGGGCTGAGGAGCGGAGGGAAGGACGGCAGGCAGGAGCAGAGCAGGAAGGTCCGGGAGAAGGGGCAGAAACCAGAGGGTCCAGGGTTGGTTCCGCCGCCAGCACGCCATCCACAGGAGAGGCTGGCGTGTCAGACCTCAGTATTGCTGCTGGAAGGGGGGGCCATGGAAGTAGAAGGAGAGAAGGTAAAGATTGTCATCATAGACACGGGGGCACAGAGCGTGATGCTAGGCAAAGGGATGGCTGAGAGGCTGGGGCTCTTGGCTCCATAAAGGCATGTGAAAATGGGGATGTTGGTGATAAAAGCAGAAGGGGGGGAGCCGAAGTGGATGCCCTGCTCTCGGGCACCCATAGAGGTGACACTACTACCAGGAAGGGAGCATGAAACCAAGATCAGAATGAAGTGTGGCATCTCTGAGTCCGAGGATTTTGACGTGTTAGTGGGCACAGAGCTGGTGTTTGTGGTGGGCATGACCATCTGCACGTGGACAGAGAGGGTGGCGTTCCGAACACGGTATTGGAAGAAGGAGGGGCCACTAGGGGAGCTGCCAGTACGATTCGTGAAGGTGGAGCCCAAGAGAGCGTATCAGGCCATGGCGGGGAAGGAAGCGGAGACAGCAGAGGCGGGGAAGCACAAGGGAGTGGGCGGGACCATGGAAGTGCCCAGAATGAGGATGATGGATGAGCCGAGGCGGCAGAGCGACTGGCAGCAGCCCATCCGCTTGGTGGAGTTGTTGGAGGGATTGGGGCGGGATTAGCAGCAGTGGTGAGGAGTGGGATTGCAGTACAGAAGTGGGTGTATGTGGAACGGGCGGCAGTGGTGAGGAAGATGGCTGAGCATCACGCGTGGAAGCTGCAGGCGGAGTTCCCAGAGCTCCTGAGTGCGGGGGTGATCCGTGAAGCCATGAAGAGAGACAGTCATGATGTGGCTCGGCTGACAGAGGAGGAGGTGGCCAGCTGGGGGCAGGTGGATCTGCTGGTGGCTGGATGGGAGTGCCAAGGGGTGTCATGGGCGGGCAAGGGGAGAGGAAAGGGGGACCCGAGGACACAGCTGATGGAGGACCTCTTCCGCATCCTGGAATGGCTGCAAGAGAGGCAGGGCAGGGTGGCATACCTGGTGGAAAACCTGGACTTAGAAGGGGACAGCAGGGAGCCAATACGGCTGGTACGGGAGAGGATCAAGGAGCAATTGGGAGAAGGGGTGAGCAGTGATGTGGCCAGAATGGGGTCACTTGCTCACCAATTGAGAATGTATTGGCAGAACATAGTCCCAGCACCGAAGCTGCAGGAAGAGATAGAGGGGGTGAGAAGGGCACCAGGAAGAAAAGTACAGGACATCCTTGAGCCAGGACGGACCCCAGCGGGACTCACATGTCACAGCGGGTAGCTGACAGGTACCCCATGCCCATGGCAGAAGAGATATTTGACAAGTTAGCGGAGGGGGTCTTCTTCACCACGTTGGACCTGCAGCAGGGGTTCAACCAAATCAAGATCAGGGAGGCGGACATCAAGAAGACGGCCTTCCATGGGCCGGATGGGCTGTGTGAGTGGCTGTACATGCCATTCGGGCTGAGGAACGCATCGGCAGTGTTTCAGCGGGTTATGGATGCAGTGCTGAGGGATGTGGAATGTGCGGCGTGCTACATAGACGACGTAGTGATCTTCAGTGCCACCGAGCAGCAGCACTTGCAGGATGTGGAGAGGACACTGGCGGCAATAGAAGCAGCGGGACTCACATGTCACCCCAAGAAGTGCAGGTGGGATGAGGAGACAGTGCAGTACCTGGGATACGAGGTGAAGGGAGGACAGATCGGGATCCAGCAGGCTAAAGTAGAGGTATTGGACAGGCTACGGGAGCCAAAGAACAAGTCGGGGCTGAGGGCGGTGTTAGGCTTCCTCAGCTACTACAGGAGGTTCGTGCCCAACTTCAGCAAACGAGCAACAGCATTGAATGGGCTGCTGAGGGAGGACAGGGCATGGGAATGGGGAGAGGCTCAGAAGGGAGCCCTGCAGGACCTTATAACAGCGGTGTAGATGGCGACCGTGTTACGGCTGCCAGTAGCAGACCAGCCATTCACCCTCTACACCGACTGGAGTAGCCAAGGAATGGGAGGGATACTCTGCCAGGAGGTGCAAGCGGAGGAGAAGGTGGTGGCCTACACGAGCAGGAGCTGCAACTCGGTGGAGGCGCAATACAGCTCGTACATAGGGGATGGACTGGCGGCAGTATGGGTGGTGGGGCATTTCAGAGTGTACCTGCAGGGACGGGAGTTCACCTTGTTGAAGGATCACCAGCCACTGACATGGCTGATGACTACGCCGGGACTGACAGGCAGGAACGCACGGTGGGCGATGAAGCTGCAGGAATACGATTTCAAGATCAATCACTGGCCTGGAAAGACTCTACAGCACGTGGATGGCCTCTCCCGAAACCCCCCACAGCTGGAACCGAGCGTAACCTTAACACTGCTGGCCAGACAGGTAGAAGTGGGTGGGGCCAAAGGGGGCAAGGGGCCAGCAGATATTTGGGAAGATGAGCAGGCCATGCGGTGGGTAAAAGGGGAGACAGGGGAGGATGAGGAGATGACGGAGAGAGTGAGGGCGAGGGGGCACCACTACAGGTGGTATCAGCAGCAGTTACAGATACAAACCAAGGATGGATGGAAGCTGGTGCCAGCACCTAGTGACAGAGAGCAGTGATCAAGGAGGTGCACACTAAACTGGGGCATTTCGGACATGAGATCGACAAAACAGAAGGTGAACGCGTGGCCGCGGAGCAGTGTTAAAACTAGAAACTGTTCAAACTAGAAACAAGAAGTGATGGCATTAGCAGGAAGTTGGGTACAAGTAGTGAAACCCTAAAGTGTTGTACCCCATATTGACTACCCCACTACAGCCTAAACAAGCTATAGCATATATGTTTGACACACCCCCATAGGCAAAGTGGGGGAGAACAAGAGGTCACAAGACCAGTCAAGAAAAGAAAAGCAAGCTCAGGGTGGATCTCAAGGACACCACACAAATTCCGAGTACAAGCAAGCGACCACAAGACCAGTTCACATGCAGTTTGATAATACAACAAGCAGTACAGTGATCAGAACCTAGCAAGTGTAAACATGCAGGTATACATATATAAGGATCACAGTACAAGCAAAGTCAAGAAGTAAGCAAGTGAGGCACAGTAGGCACAAGGCATAGAACAGTACAGAAACGCTGATGATCACAAGGCTGAAGTGCCTTGGTGAAGACATCAGCAGTGTTGGCCCGAGTGGCCACGTACGCAAGACGAAGCTTACCACGCTGCTGCAACTCTCGAGCAAGGAAGTAGCGCAGAGCAATGTGCTTCGTTCTGTGCGCCAGTCTGTGCTCCTGACACAAGGCAATCATGGCCTTGTTGTCGACGTACAGCACTGGAGGAGAACGAGGCGGCTCTCCCAGGTCGGTCAGCAGGTAGGTGAGCCAGCATAACTCCTGTGCAGCCATGGCCCCTGCGTAGATCTCAGCCTCACAACTGGAGCTGAGAACAGAAGAAGAGCGGGTAGAACGCCAAGAAACAGAGCCGGAGCCAAGACTGAAGGTGTAACTCTGTGACGACCGCTGCGTAGCCAAGTCGTCAGCCCAGGAAGCGTCTGCGTGACCAGTGAGGACAACTCGAGCCCGTCCTCCAAGCACGAGCCCCATGCCCGACGTACTGCACAAGTAGCGCAATACCCTTTTAGCGGCATCCATGTGCTCCTTCCTGTGTCTGCCAGGAGCGACATAGCGTGCTAGAATGCTAAGACGGTAGGCAAGGTCAGGTCGAGTGCAGGTCATCAGGTACATGAGGCAGCCCACAAGCTCTGGATACGGGCCACTCGGCTCTACGGACTCGACCGAAGGTGGAGCTGAGAGCGAGTGACCGGTAGGTAGAGGAGTGGACTGTGGCGAGGAGTACGTGAAGCCGAAGCGCTGAAGGACCTGCT